CGAGTTGTCAGTCCACCCCTGCATCTAATAGATGTATTTTTATATTTCTGATGTCCAGTTATCTTGTGAATTGTATTTATTTTCTCTAAGTTTCAAGGCTTTGTAATTAGAACCTTTTGCAGTTTCTTGTACTGACACTACATGAGACAGACAGGAAAGGAATATCCCTAGCCATGGTGCACAGATGCCCTTATAAGACAGTCACTAATACACCCCCATCTCTGATACATTTACAAACCATGTACTGGGTGTTACTGAATGGGCAGACAATCTTTTACTGCTCTTCCCCATACCAGGGCCTTATTACCACCCTGCATCAAGACAGCTTGATAGAAGACAAATATAGAATAGAAACTGCAAGTCAAGAATTAAAATGAGAAGTTCTGAAAAAAAAGTCCACCTGCATTGCATGGTGTTTTTCACCTGGCTATATTTCAGTTTTAAAGCTAAAAGTCATCTTAATTTTACAGGATACTGTTTGGTGAATACCACCAGAGAAAGGGTATGATAAACATGCCATATTTATAAGCAGTCTGGAATACACAGGTTGGGTACAAAAGAACAGTTTGGATATGCTTAAGTAGTGACTTTTCCTTGTACAAATGCAATACTTTCTTCCAGGTGGTGTAGAGAAGATGACAGGACATGAAAATCAACGAGCCTTTGCACATATTCCTTTTTCCAGTGTGCAGAAGTGACTGGAATAGAAGGAGAAAATCTTTTATTGTTTGACAAATAACACACATGTAGAAATCAGTATTTTTGCTAGAAAATTACTTAAAACCTCCAAATATTATACATTTTTAAAGCAGAGGCCCTAGAGAATAAAATGGTGGCTGGTGCGATTTGTTTAACCACTTGCCCTTCAGAGGATTTACCCCCCTTCCTGACCAGGCCATTTTTTGCGATACAGTGCTCTGTTACTTTAACTGACAATTGCGCGGTCATGCACCGCTGTACACAAATTAAATGTATCTAATTTTTTTCACACAATATTTCGGTAGTATTTGATCACCTCTGCATTTTTTTATTTTTTGCGCTATAAACAAAAAAAGACTGACAATTTTGAAAAAAAAAAACAATATTTTTGTCTTTGCTATAAAACATAACCAGTAAAAAAGTAAAAAAAATCTAATTTCATCATAAATTTAGGCCACAATGTACTCTGCTACATGCCATTGCTACAAAAAAATCCCAATATGTGTAAATTAATTGGTTTACGTGAAAGTTATAGCATCTACAAATGACGGTATATACTATACTGGAATTTTATTTTTACTTTTTTATACTAGTAATGGCGGCGATCATCGACTTATAACGGGATTGCAGGACTGCGGTGGGCATTCTTACACTGGTGAGGAACTGACTAACTGCCACTGACATCCAAATTACATTAATACAGTGAGCAGTGCTAACAAAAAGCACTGACACTGTACTAGTGAAACTGGGCAAAAAGAGGTTAACATCTGGGGTGACCAAAAGATTAATTGAGTGCTGTGTGTGTGTTTTACTAGGGAGACATTCTTCTTTGTATTTTTCTGCTGCACAGAAATACAAAGCAGCATGTCCTTGATGGCAAGAGAGAGACCTGTGTTGTTTACAGACAGATCTCTCCCCTGTCAGCTTTCCCCGACAATCACCGGGTGCTGGTGAGGAATCTCTGGTTGGGACCCAGTGATTGACATCTGCAGCCGCCAATGCCGGCGTTGGAAGGGCGGTGAGTGCACGTGCTCCCTGCCTAGAAATGCAAATCACATATATATACATGATTTTGTGCAGTACTTCTACTATAGGGCAGCGGGCAAGCTGTCCCTTTAAAAAAATTTTGATCACTTACTGTTATCTCACATATATATTCTTATTATTATAGCCAAATTTACCACCCTAACTCCTCCTACAGTTTTTACACTACATAGACAGTAATATACCGAAACGTGCGGATTGTTCCCGATTGGTGTGCTATTACTTTGTGGAACGTTTTGCCGAATGGTTCATGAAATATCGGCGTTTTTGTGGTGAAATTGGTCCCATAGGAATGAATGGCGGAATGTTCAAAACTAGAGTGGGAGCTGAAAAATCAGGACATGATTTCTAAACTGCCATCACTCCCTCATTTTCAAGCCCACCTACACAAATCTTATATTAAAACGTTCAGCTATCCCTGCTGCCACTAAAAATGTCCACAGCTAATCTATAGTCCTGATAGTTTTCACAATATGACCATTTGTTTGCACCTCACGCCGCCCATTGACATTCATTGAAACTCCACTCTAGCCACCTCAAATTTGAAGGCCAATTTCTAAACTGCGACTTTGCCTTCATTTTTAATATTTCAGAGACATACTATATATCAAAATGTAGGTCTGGGTTTTGTGATTCTCACAATACAAAGCTCTTTGGTGTAGGATTTATAATATTTAAACTACAACCGTTTGAAGATGGCAACCGCCAGTGAAGTGAGCAAGTTGGAGCAGTTTGTTTTTAACCGCTCTTCTCTGCCCTTGCTGTACAGTGAGTTGCCATAGGAACCCAGGTGTGTGAGCAGGTAGCAGAGTGACAAAAGCTAGAGTGTGAGTTGTAGACTACTGGTGGAGGCAAGAACACTTCACACAATTTCCCCAGAAATTGTAGCTTTTCTTGTTGTTATCTATGAGAACCCAGATCTTTCCTCTGCCCTTCAAAGCTTCAAGGTCGGTATGAACCAATGCTTTTTTAAAACCAGTAAGTGTTTGTTTATATCCGGCAAAACTGGAAGTGATGAAATGCTCATTGCTTCCATTTCCTTAGACCATAGAGATAAATTTAGCCATTCCGGTCTTTGATCAGCTCTATTGTCAGCCTGCTGCATTCTTGGGTTCCCTCCGTGGGACAAGAGAGGCAAAGAAAGCCGCAGAAGGTGGCAGGGGGCGTCTTTTTCCCACTGCTTTTAAAAGCAGTCCAGCGTCTAATTAACTGCTAGGATTGCTTTTACAAGAAAGCCGACCGCTGGCTGGAAAAAACAATACCAGGATGATGTCTGCAGCTGCAGGGTTTAAACCCTTGACGCCGACGTAACAGAAATATGCGGCCTCACAGAACTGGGCTTTTTCCGTGGGGCCGCATATTTGCGTACCTGTGTTTGTGTTGGGAGCGTGCTGCATGGCGTACTCCCAGAACAAAGACCGCAGTGTCACTGAGAGCACCGGGTCCCTTTTTAACGATCGGGATCCTGGACTCCCGATTCCATGTCATATGATTGTTGTGATAGCGTCTGATTGGCTATCACAGTGATCAGTCAATGTACAGCCTGGCCCCCTTGTTTTTTTTCTCTCTCTATGAATGGAGGAGGAGAGATACATTCTATCTCTCTAACTCCTGGCATAGAGAGAAAAAAAAAAATGTTTGTAAAAAATAAATATATAAATAAATAAATATGAAAAACATAAAAGAAAAAATAAAGAAAAAAATACCTAGATCAAGGTTCAGTGCCAGGGCTAGTGTTTGGGTCAAGGTCAGGGTCAAAAGTCAGGATTAAAAAAAAATTGGTATAAGTGTCAGTTAGTGTCATTGTCAGTGTGTTTTAGGTAAAACAAGACAAAAATAAAATGTGCACTATTGTTTCTGGTACAAACAACAAATAAAATACACATATATGGTATTGCTGCGATCGTCAAGAGCTGGAGAATATATTTTGGGTTGTTCTTTGGTGGTAGGTTGTCGTAGTAACAATAAACACACAGCTAAATAAAACAAACATTTTTTTTTTATTATTTTGGGCCAGTTTTCCTTTGATAATAAAAAAAAAATCAGGAGATATCCATTACCATTTACCACCAAATGAAAGCCCAATTTGTCCTGAAAAAAACAAGGTATAATTCACCTGGATGTACAAAGTAGTTGCGATGATATGTACGATTTTACTAACACATGTCAACATTTCAAAATTGTGCTTAGGCATTTAGATTTGTTTTACCCTTAGTCGTGAATGGGTTAATATCACTTTTAAATCACTTTAAACCCAAGCAAAGAACATTAGACCCTTTACGCCTAAGGGTAAAACATATTAATGCCTAAGTAAAATCTTACAACTTTGACATGTGTTAGTAAAACCGTACATATCATCGCAACTACTTTTTTTCCAGGACAAATTGGGCTTTCATTTGGTGTTAAATGGTGATGGATAGCTCCTGATATTTTTTTTTATCATTAACTGGCTCAAAATAGCGAAAATGTTTTTTTTTTTTTTTTAATGTAGCTGTGTGTTTCTTGTTATTACCATAACCTACCATCAAAGAACAATTCAAAATAAATTTTCCAGCTCTTTACGATCGCAGCAATACCATACATGTGTATGTTATTTGTTGTTTGCACCTGTACTACAACCCAGAAACTATAGTGTGCATTTTTTTTTACCTAAAACATGCTGACACCGACACTAACTGACACTGATACCAATTTTTTTTAAATCCTGACCTTTGACCTTGACCCATATGCCAACCCTGGCACTGAATTAGATCAAACCTTGATCTAGGTATTTTTTCTTTTATTTTTTAATATTTATTTATTTATTTATCTTTTTTTACACAATCAGTGGCTATCACAGCGATCATGTGACACAGAATCGGGAGTCCCGGGTCTCAATCATTAGAACTGGACCCGGGGCTCTCAGTGACACCCCAGTCTTTGTGCTGGGAGTAAGCCATGCAGCGCACTCCCAGCACAAAGACAGGTATACAAATATGCGTCCCCACGGAAAAAAGCCCAGTTCTGTGAGGCTGCATATTTGTGTGATGTTGGCGCCAAGAGGTTATCCTACTACCTAATTCACTGTGTGATAGATATCAAAAAAGCCTATGAAAAAGGTACCAGGGGCATCTCATGGGGCCCCTACTGACCCCGGGCCCTCGGGCAGTGCCCGAGTTTTCAAATGGTCAGTCCTCCCCTGGTCCAGATGGTGTCAAGTGGAAATGAGAGAAGGATCTAGCATGTCTGAGTGCAGGTAAGCTCAGTAGTGAAAATAGGTATTTAACCCAATAGCAACAATGTAATATTTTGCAGTTTACCAGTCATTAAATGTGGTGGCTGCATCAGTTTCCTTTTTTAGGCTTTTCCCACTGTTTTCACCTAGTGTCAGGAATGGACTCGCCAATGGTGGTGGGACTCACCTGCCTTGTGGGCTGCAGTACCAGGGCTGGCCAGTGGGTGCTCTCAGCAACCAGAAGCTCACTCCTGCAATCAGCCATCACCTGAGACTGATTGCAGAAGGTGTATTTAAGGAATGGCCAGACCTGTAGTCAGTGCCTTAGTGTTTGTTTCCCATGTGCCCTGTTTCCTGTATCCTGTCTCCTGCCTGCACGACTCTCCTGCTTGACTCTGACTCTGATAGAACTCCGCCTGCACTGACCCCGGCTATTCCTGACCATTCTTCTGCCTGCTCCCGTTGTACCTTTCTGCCTGATTGTTCCTGACCCGGCCTGCCTAACCACTCCACCTCTCCAGCGCTGACTGCACCTGTACCTATTAGTTTAAGGTTTGTTTTGTTTTGCACTCTGTTTGTTTATTTTGTGCAGCTCATAATAAATATTATTATTATTTAATCATTTCTGAAGCCTGCTGTTTCCCTGTGTCAGTCCACACATCTCTGGTCATACCTGGATCCCTGACACCTAGTGATCTGGCCAGTAACACACCTCCTGTATTAGAGTGCCTACACTCTGGATGAAAGAGCACATGGGGCACCTTTGGACAGCAGCATTGTCAGTCTTGGGGGAGGGAAGTGTTAGATGTACTAGCATATTTAAATACACTAACAAATTGAAACCAAACTGCAACTCATGGGTTGATTTACTAAAGACAAGCAGACTGTGCACTTTTGCAAAGTGCAGTTGCACTCTGCAAACAGCAGTTGCTCCAAAGCTTAATTAATGAGGTAAAGATTCATTTTGCAAAGAATACCCAAAAAACAGCATTTTTGCTTCCACATGATTGGATGATGGAAGTCAGCAAAGCATCTGTTCAGACATTTACTAAACTCTGGAACAACTGCACAGCGACACTGGAAGTGGTTAATACAGGAGAAGGTGGTGGTGAGAGAGCCTAGAGCCAGATCCATGATCGCTGATGATCAGCTGGTGATCAGTAACTTATGGCGGTGATCAGCGACTATGCTTATGATGTAACATGCATTTTTATCCTGGTGCAAGGGTATGCGTCTAACAATGTGAGTGGGCATTGTGGAAATGGTTTTAAATAAATAAAAGGTTTTAAAGATTTTATACTATGGTAGTCTCCCTCCATCCCTCCCTACATGTTGTGTGATACATTTAAAAGGAAAGAGTACAGGCGGCCCAAGAAGAAGGCTGATGGTGTTTATCCATGATACTAAGCGCTGTATGACTGTCAAGGTCCTACCTTTTCCCAGAGGTTATGTTACTCCATGTGCTGGCATCCATCTTGGATTTCTGCTGAGCATGGTGGGAATCTTTTATGCCTTCAGGTCTCTGAGGTCCATCCCCCAGAGGGGTGTGGCTGAGTACATATAAGCCTGTGATCCGCACATGCTCTTTGCACTTGTGTCTTGTGTCTTGGTCTTGCTACAGCTCTGTGTATACGCTCGTGACTCTTCTGGTATTCTGACTCGGCTTGTGACTAAGACCATTCTGTGTTTTCCTTCGATCTGACCTTCCGTTGCTGAACCCGGCCCGTGACCTGTTATTCTCTGTCTACTGTTCTGTACCGTTTTGTCCCGTTGTTGTCGACCCGGCTTGCCTGACTACGTTATTGTCATTCTCACCAGCTACACGCCATTGGCGGCGGCCATTACCGCAGCCGGGGTGCCTCGGGGGCCGCGACCTGGTTCCTGGCTGCGTCAAGTCCATCCCCACCATCAGGGACCCTGGTGAAGGGCAGCCTGGGACTTAGACTCTGCGCCCTGAGGGACTTCGGTCTGTTGGTGGTGGTTGTCGTCAGCCAGTGCGTTACCCTGCCACTAGGCCTACCTGTCCGTTCCTCAGCCCTGCCCTGACAATGACTCACCTGTGATAGCTAGACATATAAATCTGGTGAGTGTTCTGTGTTTATGGTGGAGGATTTCCGAAACACTATGGCACTTATTATTGGAAACTGAGCACTTTTTTTAGCATGGATACTTTAATAAGTTTAAAGGCATTTTGCATTGCAGAAGGGGTTTGTGTTACGGCACTGCGTTACTTTAACTGACAATTATGCGGTCATGCAACGCTGCACCAAAATTAAATTTATGTCCTTTTTTTCCCCACGAATTGAGCATTTTTTTGGTGATATTTGATCGTCTTTGCATTTTTTTTTTGCGCTATAAAAAAAGACCAACAATTTTGAGAAAAAAAACAATATTTTGGACTTTTTGCTATAAAACATGTCCAGTAAAAAAATTTTAAAATCAAATTTCCTCATAAATTTAGGCCATGTCTTTGCTAAAAAAAAAATCCCGATACGTGCAAATTAATTGGTTTATGTGAAAGTTATAGCATCTATAAATGGAGGTATAGATACTGGAATTTTTTTTATACTAATAATAGCGGTGATCAGCAACTTATGGCGGTGATCAGCGACTCTTGGTGGGACTGCAGGACTGTGGTGGACATTCTGATACTGGGGGGGGGAACTGACTTGGGGTCACTGACATCCCCAGTGAAACCAATACAGGATCAATGAAAAAAAAGCACTGACACTGTACTTATGACACTGGGGAGGAAGGGGTTAACAATGAGTGTCAATCAAAGGGTTAACTGTGTGATGGGATTGTTTTACTAGGGGGCAGGGGGGTGTGCTTCACTGTAAGCACACTGATCGAGACAGCTGTGCTCATCCATCCCGATGTAAACAATGCAGACATCCTCCCTGTCAATGTTTGCGGGCAATCACTGGGCTCCAGCAGGTAATCACCGGATGGGACCCAGTGATTGACTCCTGGGGCCTGAAATGCAGGATCACATTTATATACGTGATCCTATGGACAGGGGCCGCCTTGCCGCAGTATATTTACTGTGGGCGGTCCCCTAGTGGTTAAACTGTGAGTAACTGAAAACACTTGGACACTTTATATGCACAAAGAGACATTATTCAAGTACAAAAGACACTTTATTGAATCATCTTTAACTTTTATTTGAGAATATGAGCATTATAGAGAATATGAGCATTGTAGAGAATATGCTTGTTTATAGTTTTTTATTTTATTTTTTTATTATTAAGTGTATTATATTCATTGTATTAAATATTATCTTGATTATTCAAATGGAGATAATAATTATGGATATAGATGCATAATTTTATGATATACAACTATAAGGGCTTTTTAGTTAATTTTTATTGATTAAAAGTAATGGGATCATTTTTTAGAATTGTAATGCTGTAAGTTATGTATATAGTGATATAGCATGGCTCCAGTGGTGTTATTTATAGCCTATCAGTCCATCAACACCTGGCAACAGAGGTATAATATATATTATTAAACAGCTTGGTACATGCATAAACTGGATGATGCATCACATCCAGTAGACCCCAGGAAAATGGCCGCGCGCATGCGGACTTCAATACATAAATACAGCTATGAGAGTTGTGATGTCCAATCATAATTCCCTGATGAAGTCACATGACCCAGTGACGCAACGCGTAGGGGAGGGGCTCTGACATCACGACGTTGTCTCGGATTAGAACAGCGAGTATAGCAGACACAGCAGGCTATGATCTCACTATTTCAGCTCATTGTAAATTGCACAAATGTGAGTGTTATATTGATCAGTAATAAATTACAAATTTAAAAAGGATAAGGCACCATGGTTTCTGTTTTCTCTTATGATATCCATCTGTGACACATTGGAGAGAGGTTACTAAAGCAGGAAGGAGATCCTGTAGGGAAAAGGGAGACACCCATCCATCCATTCCTTTACATAGAAGACCAATTGATTGGAGAGACCCCAGGTGGAATATAATATCTAACTACAATTATCCATATAACATTTGGAGAAATCTTACACAGGAGGAATATGGTTTCATCAGTCCTATGAGGACAAAAAGCGAGTTTTGCCTATATTCTTAGGCAAAACATAAGGTGAGCGCATAATAAGATTACACTGCACTTGGATTTTGGAGTGGAATTTCTTTTTGGAATTGAATTAGACCTTGTATTTATTTATTTATTGACTTTGGTTCACTGATATTAATTTCAGATCTCACAGGGGATAATCAGCACTTGATTAATATGATTATTATAGGGGCCGACAGCTACAGGGAACGTCCTGATGTCATCCAATAGGCTCCGCCCTACGCGTTTCATCACTCTGACGTCCTCACAGAGCGGCATCGTGCCGTAGGGCGGAGCCTATTGGATGACGTCAGGACGTTCCCTGTAGCTGTCGGCGAGGTGTCTGCGGTGAGCGGGGCTCGTCCATTCCTTTTATCCTGTCGTTTTTATACCAGTGTCAGGTAGACACTTGATTTGTGAGTAATATGAGTTTTTAATAAATACAAACGGTTTTTACTTCTGCACCATCATGCCTTTCCTTATTTCTGAGTGGTATTGCCATATATTTGGAGGATGATCGATATATAAAGGGTCCTGGCCATACTTCAGAGTGGCTGCAGAGTATTGCTCCTGGTATCTGGATGATTTCAAACTACAGAGTGTTGCTTCATGATTTGGATTCTCTCATCGCTCCCAGAGCAAATACGCTTGTGCTGATTTATAATTTGATCAGCAATGAGCTCTGGTGAGTTTATTCCATTCATCCGGTGGTGGATTGAGCACGGTGTATTTATACGTTTAAGAAGAAATTTCTTTGGGGAGTTGGACTTTTTGCACTAATAATAATTCATGGATTGTTTCACTGGGAATTTTTCATATGTTGAATTTATGGTGTTTGGACTTTTTTGCACAGTATATGAATTTTTGATATAATTTAGAGCATTCCGATTTTTTGATTTTCTGTTTAATACATTCTTGAACTACATGTGAGACACATGGGCCTACAACTCCCAGAGGGCCCTTGTGCACCTGCACAGTCCACCCAAAAAGTTTGCTGTTCCTTTTCCAAACTTTTCTGTCTGCAGTCATTAAAGGTTCACATGTTGAAGGTAATGTGGAGCAGTATTTCTCAGCATTGGAACATGTTTATTTTTGCTATGTAACTCACAGATAAAAAAAAAATATGAAATATAAAATCTGGCTTGTTTTTGTACATTTTACAAGAGTGCACTCACTTAGCATTTCCCATCTGTATCAATAAGTTTTTTTCTTTCTTTTTTAACTAACTTGAATCTTTTTTTTTTTTAAAGTTCTTCTCACAAATCACTTTATTAATTTTGGATACTTTGTTTTTCTCATCAATCTTGGTGCTGCATCGTAAACCATCTGCTGTATTTATGCTTAAGGGCATCACATCTCGCTACTGTTTCATTATAAGTTTAGTTTATTGTTTTTGTTTACTTTTACATATTCCTCTTCCACTTTACTTTCTTTTGTTAATTTTGAAGCCAATCTGGTTGCTTAGGAACCATACTGGGGAGGATTTCAGATACCTCATTTTTACAGCATTATGTTACGTGACCATTTGCTTTTGACTGTGACCTTCAATTTCACTGAAATAATGCAAATTTGGCTAAAAATTTCAGCAATATCAAGGTCATTACTGAATAAATGAAAGAAAACCAAACCTGAAGAATATGCAGGGCAATTTTAAATTGCAGTCACCTGGAGGGTTTTTAAAGCACCACATTATTTTACCTACTAATTGGGGACATACAGTAAGAGATTATTTTACTGTACAGTAGGTAGAAATAACATGAGAGAAAAGAAAGG